ACACTATGAATTAAATCAGGCATACCAACAAATGCAGTTTTCTGATTTTTATTGGTGTTAAATGTAGTATAAGAATTTCCATTGTAAGAAAGTATGTTGAAAAAGGCCACAAACCTTTATGAAGAGGCAAGCCTCGAAGACATGCATAAAGAGTCTTCAACTGCATTAGTTTTCTCTTACCAGTCTGACAAAATCTTAATTATAAATAAGAGCAAATACTATTTTCTGCAATTATTCCTAAAAACAAGCACTTGAAAACCTGATGTAGATCAGAAAGTGGTGATCTACAAATGGCACCTTTTATTCAAGATGTTTACTCTTTGCATATTAGGATTTACAGTTATTCATACCAGTGAGAAAAATCTGAAGAGCTGGAACCAAAAACGTATCTCATGCTCTAACCAGTTCATCTGGTTAACTTTTCTCATCCTCATTTTTCTTGATCTGTTCTTTGTTTGATATGTTTACTTCTTTGTTTTCTTCCTTGGATAAAGTGGCTCTGTGGTCAATAAATAATCTTCTTGGCTTTGTATACCCTCCTGCAACATCTCCAATGACAAATCCTTTTAATCTCTCACAACTGTTATCTTCCAAGACAGAGACTTTTGTTCTCTTATTTCTCACTCTCACTTATGTAATCTTAAAGTACAGACTACCCAGGACTGTCCAATCTAATTCCTCCAACTGTATTTTTTACAGCTATCCAAGACTACTACATCTTTCCAAAGACTTTTATTAGCTCCTTATCTACCTCTGTAACTTATAATTGGAATGATGATATGTCTAAAAAATATCTAAGTAATGTATCCTTTCTAAGATTCTGTACCCATTTACCTTGTGGGAAAAAAGAAAATGCTTTTTTATTGTTATTTCATCTTATCACAAAAGAACTGACTTAACTTCAGAAGTCAGAGATAGATTCTATTCTAACTGAAGACTCATTATTACAGGAGATACTATAGAAATCTTGCTTAGTTTTCAGATGAAAATAAAATAATTGTAAATAAACTGAATTTTTACAAGACCCAAGGAGGTCATCTGGTCCATCTTCCTGCTCTAGGTGTAACCACTGAAAACATTAGAAGAGCTTAGCTATGGCTTTTTCTGGCTAAATATTGAAAAACTACAAGGAAATTTCACAACTTGTTCCAGTGTTGCACTGCCCTCCTAGTGCCTTTTTTTTTTCCTAATGTCCAACCTGAACCTCAAAAACTGCAATGTGTGGACAATCCCTCTTATCGTATCTTCTGACAGTACTGAAACACTGCTTGGCTTCCACCTGCTCAATGTAAATTTATTATTTTCTTCTTCCAGAGTCTTTCTGTTTTTATTATCCATTAAAAATTATCTTTCTACTCCATCTAACCACCTTCCACACTTTTGACAACACCAAACCACAGAATCGTTGAAATGTTGGCTGAACTAAAAACGTCCACCTTCCGGCTTTCAGATCTCTCCTTGTTGGTCATGTGCTCTAAACCACTGATTGTCTCACAAGTCCTCCTCCTTCCCTTTCCCTTTCTCCTGCTTTTTCAACCTGCTTTCCTTGGCAGTAGATAAAAGAGGCTGCCCTTTGATTGCATCATTCTCCTGAGAAGTGTTACAGTCAGTATCTTGCCATGGACAAAAGGAATATACCCTATATAAGGGGCCAGCAATTTTTTTTTAGTCTAACCAATGTTTTAAAAGCCTAATCAAAATAAAACAATTATTAGACAGTTAAAATGACACTCATAATCCAGAAGTTCCCTAATTATTACAGAAAAGTTTCATCAAAAATAGAGTTTTTGATGGGGTCAGTGAGTCACTAGCATGCTGAGTTCTTCCCTGGGAGGAGTACAATGTTGATGGCAGGGATTTTCTTCCTCCTCAGACTGGGGTTCCCTTGGGTTATTTTTAGACATTACATGGGTTAATGTAGACTAGATCTACTCTGGTCCCATGGACTGAAAGTCTGTTAGCACACTGAGTGCAACCCTGGAGTTCATCTTTTGGTTTGACCTGATCAGAGACAAGTCCGGTTCACATCCTCACACAGTGAGTGTACAGCAATGAGAGCAAAGTTGGATAAGTAGGGACAACAGTGCACTTCAAAAGTGCATTTCTGATCCAAACTAAATGCTAATATGTACTCACAGGGAGTCCAGATAGTTCGTACTATACGACGTCATGCTGAGCATATAAAGCTGGGGGAAGAAGAAGGAAGGGGGAACGCTCGGAATGATGGCATTTGCCTTCCCCAGTAACCATTATGCGTGATGGAGCCCTGCTTTCCGGGAGATGGCTGAACACCTGCCTGCCAATGGGAAGTGGTGAATGAATTCCTTGGTTTGTTTTGCTCGCATGTGCAGCTTTTGCTTTGCCTATGAAACTGTCTGTATCTCAACCCATGAGTTTTCTCACTTTTACTCTTCTAATTCTCTTTCCCATTCCACTGTGGGGGGAGTGAGCGAGCAGCTGTGCAGTGCTTAGCTGCCAGACGGGGTTAAACCATGACATAATACAATAACAGTACAAAGGTAATTGCAATCTATATCACCATAGATCAAAAGAGGTACTAAAAATCCAACCTGTAGGACCCTTGAAATTCCTGAATTATTACACTTAAGAGCTATCAAAAACTGATGAATAAAGAATTTGCTCAGCTATATTTAGAACCCATAGAAATTTCAATGAGATTTTAAAGAAAAAAATAATGTTTAACTTATGCCAATATTACATTTCCAAAAAGTGCAAACATGTAACTTCATTCAAACCCCTCAGCTCCCAAACATACTACTCCAAAATTGTGTTTTAAATTATATTTTACATCTCTGTAGTAGTTAAGTCAATATACTACTTAAAATAAAAAGAAAAAAAAACAACCAAACAAAACTGTCTTAGTATTAGATACTCAAATTTTGGCATCAGTTCTGTGAATAATTTGAAACCTATATAAACATTTCCTATGGGACAAACACTGGAACATTATGGAATATTAAAGGGCATTTGAGAGCATGGACTATTTTTCATATCGATGGATATATGAGTAATGAAGAAAAGACCTTCAAGTAGAGCAGAGAAGTAGGTGTAGGTTTTGTGCATTTTAGAGCTTTTTGTAGAAGCTTCGAGGTTTAGAAAGCACCTATGACATCTGGTGCCAGAACGGGGAGAGAACAAGTTCTTGAACACAGTCCTCCTCTACTTGATGGGCTGCAGAAGATATAAAAGTTTGCTGCAATAATGTTAAAACAGTGACATGCAGTGTTGGAAGGCTGTCAGTTAACTAACAGAATGAATTTCAAGACTTTGCGTTCTGAATTTCCTTGTATAATAACACAGTATACATATTTTTTTAGAATTATCTTTTGAGGGTGAGAAATATGCTTCTGTAGTGATGCCACATAACAAAAATGTGCTGTAAATTAGAGGCTTGGAGTTTTTTAAGACACAAACAATTGGCTTTGTATAGAAATGCATATGACAATTTTTTTTTTAATATTTTACACAACCCACTTATGTGTATACAGTGTAAATTTCAAGACATACTGTACTTCAGGTAATAATAAGAATCAAAGCAATTCCAGCCAGTTTCACATTACAGGCACATAATATGATTTTGCTTTCTTTTAATTAGCATAAATACATAAATATGAATAATATGCAAATAGAGATAAAAATCTTGAAAAGGTCCACTAGCTGCACAGCAAAAAGCATCATCTTGCCAAAAATGCAGTGTCTCAGCAGACCAGATGAGAATACGGTTTTTAGGGGTTTACTATTTTTGGTTTTCATTATTCAAACTATTCTTTGAAAATCAGAGGGCACATGTAGAACGAAAACTGCCAGAAGCAGATGATGTGAACCAATATGTCTCTGTAAGGTCATCCCTCAAGCTTCAAAAAGATAAAGAATTCTTCAAGTCAAGCTGTTATATATGATTTATAGGAACAGTTGGCACAAATTGTATTTTCAAAGTGGCAATCACTGTTCAGGGAAGCATCTGTTTATGGTTTGGCTAGTCAGTTAATCTTATTGTTCCCTTCATTTTCTTATGTGGCATATATTGATACGATAGAAAAAAATGATCAAAGCAGAAATGAAAGTATAACATAATGAGTTGTTTTTTAGCAATACTTGCATATGAGACTGGAGAAATATTTACATATAAATAACCTAAATGTTGTTGAAGCACCAATTGCAACTCCAAGTTCTGCACAAGAGCCTGCGACTGCTGACTGACCACTATGGAAGTTTAGAGCCTTTCTGCATTCCACCGTGTACATGAGAGGTAAAATAAATATACCAAATTAGATGAATACACACATTTTCTAATTTAACTTACACTTTTTTACATCTCCTTTTGAATGTCCTAGTGGCATTTTTACATTATAGACTTTAGTTCAAGAACATCTTTTTAACATTGTCTGGACTCCTATTTCACTTGTTACAGAGGCTTGCCATTGCCTGTGCTTCAGTACAGCAAAACCTAACTTAACAAGAAATGTATGCTTTCCAAAGGAAATGCTAATTCATTACACAGCTATCAAACAGCACACGCAGTAAGTTCAGGGTTTAAAGTAATCTTCCACAGCCTTCTAATCTATTAAATTAGCATGTTTTGAAACTGGTCTTACGGAACTGCTTCCCAACCACTACAGTTATTGTGCCATGCAGTAATAAACAGTAACAATGGCCAAATTAAAAAAAAAAGAAGTACCTATTATTTTTTCCCCACAAGTGATTTTGTATAAATAACTTATATACCAAAATCAATACCTATAAAAGCTACTCAAAAGGAGAATCATTGATTTTACATAGAATCAAGAAGTGCTATGCCAGAGCCCATCACATACTGAATTGTTGTGATTACAAGCTAACCATTTCTGTCCTTCTGAAAGAAAGGTTAAAAAACCCACTCACCGAATTGATCTGCAATTGCAACTTTTCAGTTGACCCTGACAGAAACACTGAGTCTGCAGCTGGATGGCGGGGTCCCATCCTGCAGCACAGTGTCCCACTCACCCCGTGGACTGGCAGAGCTGGTCCTCCTGTACCACGGCTGGCAGGACTGGGCACAGAAGGTGCAGCCCCTGCAGGAGGAAGCGGCAGGGACTTCCTTGTGTAGGGACTGGGGATGGATGAGTATCATCAGCCGGACCAGCAGAGACAGGTCTAAAGAACTAATGGTAAAAGCGAAAGCTATTTTTCATTAATTTCAAACCTAAAAAATACCTGGTTCATTTTTATGTATAATCAACATCGAGTCACCTTGATATAGTAAGTTTTGGAGTTTCTTTTGAGACTCTTCAAGCAAATTTAATTCATTCTCTCTTCATTTTTTTCACATAATCTCAGAAAACAGAGATTAAACTAAAGACTTCAACCTTCTCTATGCTATTCAGCGTGTCACAGACTTCTCTTATCCACACCTTTCACACTCAGGATAACCAAACACAAGATAACCTCTCAATGTGGCTTCAAGTGTAACCTACACAGAAGTCAGAACTACCAAATATCATCTTAGCAAGTATTTATTTTGAAAATGAACTTGAAATTAGTCACACAGATAAAATATAGATAGAACTCATATCTCTCTAATGCCATGCAGCAGCATCTTTAGTTCCATGGTTTTCAGCTAATTATGAGAATTGGGGTGGGGAGGGGGGAAGGCACTGCTCAATGGGTTTGAAGTGTGCTTCACAAGAACACCATCTTTTATTCCACATATTACAGTAGACAAACATTATTCACTGATACAATAAATCTCAATTTCAGGCCACTAGCAACAAGCCACATTCCGAATCAGTGCTGTAAATCCTACAAGAGTTTCACCCCTCTTTTTATTTTTAAAACTGTAAACTTTCAATACCAATGGAAATCTTTACATGCCAAGACTCTAAAAACTTACAAATTTGAATTAACTCAGAACTAAACTGATATCAGAAATAAAATTGTAACTGTAATGATATTTAACATCGATTAAGTATATATTTGCATTTATTTTTATATGACATACCTATAAAACTTTATGCAATATTATAAAACTCCAGATTCTTAATCAATACTGGCCATACCTAGACTGATACACATTTTAGGAAACAACTCAGATCTCTCTTCAGTGGATATAGTCAATGTCTATTACAACAGATTTTTGTTTTTACCACCTTTGAATGGATAGATGTAATCTCTGAATTTACTAGTGGCACACTCACAGCTGCAATATAAAACTGTCAGAAAGCAAATGATGTGAATGAAATTAAATTGATAGAAATACCACTAAACACTAGTGTTTATCAACGAAAACAAAACCAATACTGTAGTACTTACTGTTGCTCTTGAATTTTGCATTGGTTTGACAACTAGCCCCAGTCAAGAGCAAGAGGAAAAGGAGGCATTATGGAACTGACTTTTATTATATTTTTGCTGTTCAGAAAGTGGTGTCTAAAGCAACCACCTTTACCCTTGAAGATCTGCAGTACGTGAAAGCTTTACCAACTCCAGTTTTGTGGTTTAACCCAAGAACAGAACACGTGTAAGTAGCACTCTGAAAATATTCGTTTTCTTGAAAGACGATTGCTTAATTTGACAGCTACACTCAAGTGTTCAATCAGTTAGATCAAAGCCACATGTTTTTTCACAGACAGAACACAGAACATAAGTTTTTATTGTTAAGGGAGTTCTCCTATTGCATAAATGAGAACTGAGGAGAAAATATAAAAAACAAGTTAGCAGCTTTTCACCATAATTCCTTGAGGTGTAGCATGCACACATAATCATATAGGGGGTAAGGATATGTAGAGTCATTCAAGAGCTGAGGGCTTTTCTGTCTTCACAGTACCCACAGATGATATGCCTACATTTTTTCTCCCATTATGCTCAGTGCATGGATAGGGTAGATGGAGTACATTGCTCTGCCTCTGTTTCCCTCAAACATGGAATACACATCTCTGATTTCCAGACAGAAATCACTGGAGAATGGAAGACTGCCAGAAAGTGAACCCAAGCATGTCTGAAAAACAGTCCATGTGGCTTAGATCAGAAGGGTTAACACTTTAGGTGGAATTCATCTCACCTAAGTTTTAGTGTCTGTAATATCTATATTTGATGTGTCTTGCATATTAGAGATGGCTTGCGTATCTAGAGGGACTCAAGTTCAGAGGCCACCATGAATAAGACATTAAAACAGTTGTTAAAGGAGTCACTGATGATGTATATATAGAAATGTTCTAGGTAGGGCTTGGGCCTTAAAAAGGAGAAAGTCTTTTCTAGAATTGGTAGGAAGGATAATTGTAAAGAAAGCTAAATTATTCAACAGATTGAATTTATAGCAGGCAAACAATGCCTCAGAGTTGGCAAGCTGGAGCTGTAGAGAGGCCAAAGAATAAAGACGTTTTTCCAGATCACCTATATGTGCAGAACCCCATCAGAAAACTTATGAATAATGTAACAGATCCACCACATACAGTATTTTCACTAGTCACTCAAGAAAATCAACCAGATACATTTAAAGAAAATGATAATTGAATGCAACCTAGAAAGGTCATCTAACTTAGCTTCCTACTGAATCTTCATAGCAAAACCTTATTTTTAAAACCTCGTATTTTTATTTGTAATTTTCTCTCCAAATAAAATATTCAAGAAACACAGATCTGAAAGCAGCAGATCTTAATTTTATGGCCTCACCTGGGCTTCTTGTCATTTAAAGTTCTTAAAATTGTTACAACAAATAGATACTTTGGCAAAGCCAAAGCATGTGAATATATTTATTTTGAATTTCTGTCTAGATTTCTCAGTGTGTTTATTCAAGTGGTTTTATTTGGAGCAGAAGAATAGATATACTGGAGCAAAGATCCACTTTGCTGGACTCCATCTTGGAGTCTTGTCCAAGAGTGATAAAAACAAATACTAGCAAAGAGTGAGATACTCCTGCAGCTTGAATGTAGGTGCATCTACAGTCAATGTTAGGAAACCTAACACTGGGCCTAACCTAGTGTTAGGTTAATGGTTGGACTCAATGATCTTAAGGGTCTTTTCCAACCTAAATGATACCATGATTCTGTGACTTCCTGAGCCAGATACAACTTCTACATATTTGGTAACATAGTCAAGGGTTGACTCTGGTGGTCTCCCTCACCATGAAACAGTCATTCTTAGCATCTAAAATCTGATTTCTGCATACATCCTTATACAGCAGGGTAACGAATCTTCCTGCCATCGCTGATCCATCATAACACAGACAGTGTTGCCATCTTGGTCTTGTTATTAAGATACAAGTCCAATACTCTGTTTTTCCTATACAGGCCTGCAACTTCAGCCTGTACAGGACTCCTTATTACTTGTTGAGGTTTATTAATTTGTCTCTCTTCTATGCTGTCCTAAATATAAAGCATAACTTCACTGCCAGCAAGGTTTAGCCTATGTTCCCTGTACATTTTGCAACCTTTTACTGGACTGTCTCACTGATTACCCTTCTTCCACCAAATTTGTGATAAGCCTAACAGATCGCCCAGGGCAGCCTTCATCCAGCACTGACCATTCCATTTTCCTATCTTATTTCCTAGTATTTGTGCAAATGTATCACTAGTTCCGTTCTTGGCAGCCTAACTTCTGTTTTCTACCTGACTATTTCTACCTTCTGACATATCTGTGAGAATACAGAATTTCTGCATCTTGATCTGTCATAGAAGTGTCATCCCAAACCCAATCATAAGTTTTAAAACCTTAGTTCCCTTATAACTCAGATTAAGTTCTTCTCTTCTGGACAGATGTTCCTGGAACTTCCTGGGCAGTTTCCCTAAGGTATTAACTTTAAATATATTTCCCATTTCAGCACCTGCATCTCTTTGCTGTCAGCTTTTAGTAAGTATTATCTATGTGCTCAAAAAAAAGCAAAATTCTCATCTATATTTAACATGACATTTTTATAGGCAAGTAAAAGCAGTAATTCCCAGTAAGTCTTTTGATGTATGAAATTTACTTGACCAAAATATAATATGTGAAGCAATATTCAGTCTATCTTTTTGCTTTTATGCTAACATTCAGAAATCTTTTTCATTTAAATCTGATATTGATGAAGGAAACCTGAAGGAATAGGCTACCCCAATTAACTACAAACTCCTGTAATGGATCTGATTTTTTTGACTTTGCCTTCTCAAACATAGGTAAGAAACTGTGTAAGTATATAAAAATTCTCAATCAGCATGATAATAAAAAACAAATTAAATACCCTCATGTAAAAGAATATAATCCACTTCATATTTTTCTGCCTCTGGAGCTAATGAAGAAACAAATATATGACAGAAAGTAGTTATAATGCTTATACAACTACTGGAAGATAGGTCAACACCACAGCAATGCAAATGCTCTGAGGACAGAAGTGATGCAGAATAGGATTTTATGGAAAGCTCTGCACATTTTCCAGCTTTAAGATATAAGCCAATGCTTGTTAAATCCGGCAAGAGAGTTTCCTCTAACTTCAAGGGGCATTGAATCAGATCATAATGTAAAAAGCCAATAACTGGAACAACACACTAATTTAGAGTTACTCTTTACAACTCACAGTGATAAAAAAATCTAGTTTCACTGCTTCCTACTATACTATTAATGACAAATTACATAGGCCCTCAAATGCTGTTTTTCTTTTAATAGGCCACATTAAATATTTCCATTCCAGAAAGCATGCCATTTTGGCAGTAGACCCTCATGAGTTCACAGCACTAGGACAAAGTAGTGGTAAATATTCCTTACACAACTAAATACATATCAGTATATCAAATCCCAGTTGCTAGAATACAAATGAAAGGAGACAACTTAAAAAATAACTGAAAATAAAAATGTCAGACCTAATAAAAGGATGGGGTTAGCAGTGGCAACATTGGAGAATAGTTCAATAAACATAACATTCATGTTTTAAAGACTGTCATACATGAAGTGTTGTTTGACAGAAGAACTACTAGGAGAGTGTCTCATACAAAATTTGTATAATGAACCTAAATAAATTATTTTTTCCCTTCTTCAATGTGAGCTTTGCTCACTGCAGACATTCTCTTTCTCTGAATTTTTTATTTTTTAATGAAATCATTATATTGACTTGGGCTTTATGACATCCATACGTGCTTTTATGTCAAGAACTATTATTATTTTTGTTATTGATTTCACAGCAAGCAGAAAGCTGAAGTGT